CGGCGTTTGCGTCGCAACTTTTATCCAGCTATTTGGGTGTCGCTCAGGTCATCTCCGTTCCAGAATCAATTGCATGTGAAAATTAATCGCATACAGGTGGACAATCAATTAATTGATCCCATATTCAATGTGGTGCTGGCACCGATCGCTCCGCCAAAGAGTGTGGCCACAACCACATCGATGAAGCCGTTCATCGAATGCAGCATAGTGCAGCGCGTGATACCCAATTCGGAAGTGAAGCAGTACAAGTATGCATCCATCTTGATCCAGGAGTTCCACTTTAAGGTGGACATTGTGTTTCTAACGGCCATTGCGGAGATGTTCTCGACTGAAGTGACCGATGAGCAAGCGGCCAAGCTGTTCCGCAGCGATGTGGACTCCATTGAGCTGCCATTGTCCACGTTCTTCGAGGAGCACTCGCAGCAGGAGCAGAAGAATTACTATGATAACCTGCATTTGGGTCCACTGAAGATACATGTTAGCTTCTCCATGGCTGGCGCCGATGCAATCTCGCTGCCCGGCTTCCTCGGTACACTGGTCCAAGGTGTGGGCGTAACGCTAACGGATGTCAATGATGTCGTCTTCCGTTTGGCCTTCTTCGAGCGCGAATTTCAATTCTTTACCCAACATCAACTCGTCAACGAGGTGACGTCCCACTATAAGGGCCAGGCACTGAAACAGCTCTATGTTTTGGCTCTGGGTCTGGATGTACTGGGGAATCCATACGGTTTGGTCGTGGGTCTTAAGAAAGGTGTTGAGGACTTGTTCTACGAACCTTTCCAGGTGAGCAAAATGCTAACCAAAAGTTAAGCCTTGACTATTTTAAGCTACCTAATCATGTTTGCAGGGCGCCATCCAAGGACCTGGCGAATTTGCTGAGGGTCTGGTGCTGGGCGTCAAGTCGCTCTTTGGCCACACCGTGGGCGGTGCTGCGGGCGCCATGTCCAAGTAAGTTTCTTACTAGTGGAGTTACATAGCCAGCATCAGTTAATTAATTCATCTCCCTTCCACTAGAATCACTGGCGCCATGGGCAAAGGTCTGGCTGCCTTGACCTTTGATGACAAATACCAAAAGAAACGTCGAAGGGGCATGCACAATAAACCAAAGAATTTCCATGAGGGCCTCGCACGCAGCGGCAAGGGTCTGGTCATGGTGAGAGCTCAGCCGGCACAGCAATTGCAACTCACACTAATCCAAACTGAACTTACCTTTTCCACTCGCAGGGCTTTTATGATGGCGTGACGGGTGTGGTTACTAAGCCCGTTGCTGGCGCACGCGACGAGGGCGTGGAGGGCTTCTTCAAGGGCCTGGGCAAGGGCGCCATCGGCCTGGTGGCGCGTCCAACGGCTGGTGTTGTGGACTTTGCCAGCGGCAGCTTTGAAGCAGTCAAACGCGCCACCGTGGGCATCGATGATGCCAGACGCCTGCGACCGACACGCTTCCTACATTACGACTATGTGCTGCGTCCCTATTGCTACAGCGAAGCTCTGGGCAACAAGATACTAAAGTAAGATTCACAACAATATTCCCATATATATGTCATATGTTAATCGTATTTCTTGCTTTGGCAGGGAGGTGGACAAAGGCAAATATGCGGAAACGGACAATTTTGTGCACTGCGAGGAGATTGTGCGCCGAGCCGAGTACCTTTTAATAACCAATCATCGAATGATCTATGCGCAGCGCAACGATATGTTTGGCGTCTGGAATGTGAGTGAAGCGTGGCCTATTTCCATATACATTTATTTAATATTTATGCTCTTCTCCCTTCGGTTGCTCAGTCCTTGTGGTCGTATCAGTGGGAGGAAGTGGACAGTTTTGTGAACAATGGCCGCGGCATGCAGTTCAAGGTGATCAGCCGCGAAAGCAAAGGCATAATGGGTCTCTTCTCACCGAAAGAATCGAACACCAAAATCGTATTGGTGCCTGACGAACGGAGACGTGAAGCTCTGTTGGCTGTAGTTGAATCTCAAATGCGTGCAGGCACTCAGCTGCGTATGCCCACCTCACGCTACTCGACGCGTATTATATAGTAAAGCGGGACTGCTCCAACGACATAGCATTAACTACCTCGCGCTATTTCAAGCTATTCTGCACACTCTGACATGCACTCTCACACACACTCACACTTAAATGCATAAATACCCCCTCTAATATACATACATATATAACCAATGTATATATCCAATTTATGTTTTGATATTAAAATTTTATGTCAATGAGAAAGGATAAACATGAAAAGTATGTGTTTTATCGCTAACCTAACTCTTTATAAATCTGTGCTATATATATATATTTCTATATCAATGATAATGATAATCCAGGATGCGACGTCCTACACTTTTTTGAGATAGCTGCTGGGCGGCGTAGCCAGCGGCATTATTGGCTCATAGTTGTTGCAGTTGTCGCTCTCGCAGAAGGACGTCAGGGAGGCCAGCGCATTGGCCGCCAATGCCTCCACGCTGAACATGGTCGACAGATGGCCGCTGCTCTCGAACTGATTGATGATCATGTTCACCTTGCTCTTGGCCTCCGCTTTCAGGCAAGGCGATGTTGGATTGCTGCTCTGCTGGTGCTGCTGATGCTGCTGCTGTTGATACTGTTGCAGATCGTTGGGCGCTCCATCGTAGCTGCCATCGCACATATCCAATCCATTGAGCAGATTCTCCTTTTCGCTCAGCTTGCACTTGGCGTTGGCCGGTATGCTGGTGGGGCTGCTCGTTCCACCGCCCGTCGAGCGGGAATTTTGAGTCGAGCTGGTCTTGTTGAGGCGACTGAGAAACCAGTTGCGTGCCAGCTTGTCGCAATCCTTGCCGGGCGTCTTCTGTGGACTCGTCGGGGGCGTCTGCGTTGCCTTGCGCTGCTTCTTTTGGTCCTTGAGTGTGGCCGGACTGCAGCTGCTGCAGTTGCTGCTGCCGCTGGTTAGGGACAGCAGTTCCGGTTCGCTGTTGGGGTTGCCGCACGAGTAGCTCTTCTTGACAGCCTTCTTCAAGCGCTCCGGACTCGTCAGCTGACTAGAGAGCTCGCTGTGCACCGTCTTGACCTTGGCCTGGAAATCTAGCGCCAAATTGCCATGCAGACTGGATGGCTGTGGCTGTGCCTTGAGCTCGACAGCAGCACCAGCACCACTACCACTTGCAATAGCACCACCATTGAGCAGCTCAGCTGTTTCCACCTCACCGCCAGCTGGCTCCTCGTCCATGACCAGCGGCTGGGGCGGGCACTTTGGTATGTCGTATTCGAAACGTTTGGCCAATGCACTCGGACTGTTGCACTTTTCGGGCAGGCGTGGCGGTGTCAGCGCCTCCCCAAAGTTATATATGGGCGACGGCTCCTCGTAGATGCTGTCGCTGTTGGTGGCCGCTGTCGTTGTCGAGGCCGCAAAGTTGAGTCGCTTCATGACCGGCGGCGTGGGCAGTTTCCGTAAGGACTTAAGCGTTGCCTGGGCAACGGCCTCGCCCCGTATGGCCGCCTCAATGGCGTGTATCCACTCTTTGGCATCGACCTCGTTGTTCGCCTGATAGACGAACTTCTTGCTCGGATCAGCGGTGGTGATTTGAAAGCAAACCTCACGCCGTTTGCCCTCTCCAAAATGCTCAATCTCAATGGCCGAGCTCTTCAGATAGAGGCTGCTGCTCGGCCGACAAGACGTCGGACCATCCGCATAGCACAGCATCCAATCATTCAGGATGCCGCAGTAGTATTTCTTGGTCTGGTCGAAGAACAGGCGTTTCTCGATGCGCTGCAATTGGCCGAATTTGATGGAGCGATGCAAGGCCAGGTGCCCAGCGGGCAGATCAGCGTAGGGGCAATTAATGAACAGTTCGTGCGCGAAAACTTGCTGGGTTTCCTCTTCTCCTGGATTTTGGCAAATGTCATAGATCTGCTGGTCCTGTTGCTGTTGCTCTTGCTGCTGCTGGTGCTGCTGGGGATGCTGTGAGTGCTGTGAATGCTGTGAATGGGGATGCTGCTCCAATTCCAAATGCTGATTGCTAGAGCAACGAAAGGTTTTATCACTGTTCAACGATTGACTGCTGCTCAGATCGATGTACTCCCTCGAGGCGGACACTGCAATTAAAGTCAATTACTTGCATGCTGGCTAATAGATAACTACCACAGTCTATAGACTCTATAGCAGTCTAACTCTGCTTTGGCACTCACGCGAAGTCTTGGAGGCTGCAATTGGCGTTGAAATTGCTGCTGCTGGGGCTGCTGTTGCTGCTGCTGCTGCTGTTGCTGCTGTTGATGTTGAGGACATCATCTCCAGATAGCAACCGGTCTCGGCGCCCACTTCGCTGCAGCCATTCGATTTAATGGATGCTGCTGTGGCCGTGGCATCTCTTGCTGATGTTGTTGGTGCTGTTGCTGCTGCTGCTGTTGTTGCCGCCTGATCGTCTGCATAGCTGGCCAGCAGCTGGTCACAGCGCTGCAGCAACTCCTGCGTCTGCTCCGCTGCCGTCACATGAAACAGATTCGAAGTATTCTCATACTCTGATGTCGCTAGCGAGGCACGAAAGTGAGCACGCACATCTGCAAGAAGACGTAAAAGTTGAAGACGAAGAGGAAGAAGTTGTACAAGAGGAGCATCTAGAAATGGGTAATGTTAACTGAAAGCTAAATAAGGCGAACGCATTCAATTTAATACGCTCCATTGAACTAAATGGCATTCAATTGCCTCAAATGCTCAGCGAGGGGTTAAGCAACTCATATGAGTCATACTTATGTACATACATATGTATATATAGCATATCAGATATGAGCTTATAGTAGTGTATGCCTATGACCTCATATGAAGAGCCTAAAGAGTCAACTGCGAGTTGACCGCAAGCAATTAAAAGCAATTTCACTGGGCGGCAGAGAAAACAAAAACAATAAAATAAGAAATTAAAACAGAGAAAATAATAAAAACCAAAACAATCCAGTTTCCCTAGTGGCTACCTTCTCATGCTGCTTAAGTAGGTTTAACGGTGAACATTGACAACACAACTACTACAACTAAAACAAAACAAAAATTGCCAGAAATCTTGTTAAAATTGAAAAACACGCAAAGAAATGGCCCAGACAAACGTAATTAGTATGAAATAACTTAAATGAAATAGCAACAACAACTACAACGAACGCCAAATACACTTTCACAATTCGGATAAATAACAAATTTGTTTATATATAATTATTTGGGGTTACTTTTCCATATTTTGCTTAAATTAAATTTCATTTAAAGATAAAACCAAATTTTTACACAAATTTAGAATTTATTTTTTATTTTTTTAGATTTCAATGGAACCAAAGGCCGACTTAGTTATCAATAAAAATTGTCGTGTAAAGAATATGATGATATGTATTTATATAAGACTGCGACATATTGCGCCACAGAATCGTTATACCCTATCAGAAGAGCATTAATGCTTGCAGACTTAACTGCCGACGCGTTAAAAGAAGGGCTTTAAGCAAAAGCTACATACATATATAGTATTTATATATACATATATACATATATACATATATATTATAAATATAAATATGTATGCCTAAAAGAACCAGCGAAAGAGTGGCCAAAAAACGCGCCGAAAAATGAGTTTTAATATAATAAAATTTGTACAATATACAAAAGTTGAAGCATGAAAAGAACAAAGCGCATTAAGCTCGCAGTCAAGTTAAGAGCCAAAGACTTTGCCTCAGTCTACGCCTCGGTCTCAGCCTCAGCCACAGCCTCAGCATCCATCTCTCTTCTCTTGTTCTTCTCAGCTCCAGATCGTAGACGGTCCATGGCATGAGTCAATATATATGTATATACTATATTGTATCTGAGGGTTATTAATGTTTCGCTGTACAAGAAAATTATATGGCCGCAGGGCAAGTCGAGGCACATGAACATTTCTACAAGTAGTTTGGACTCTCAAGTTTGTTTTTTTGTTGTTGTTGTTCTGTGCTGGGCTTAATTAACAATGCCGTCTAAATTATCTAGATAAATATGCGGTTAATGCGTAACTACTTTAATATTCTGTTTAGCTGCACACATAATTGTTTAATAAAGTTGTTTTAATACCCTGTACTTATAAAACTGCGCTAAAAGTGGTTTAATAAACGCTCAAGAGCGACATCTGCTAGGGCATTAAGCGCAAATGTGGTTGAAGAAGATGGAGATGAAGAGGATCTGGAGGTTGAGACCATTCGAGAGGCTCGTTAGGGTCGATGGGTTAGGAATGATGGAAAGAGGGAGAGAGGCAGGGAGTTAAAGATGGCCAAAAATACAAAAACCAGAAGCTAATGTGGGGGAGATAGAGATGGAGAGAAATCGAGGGAGAGAGAGAGAAAGGCAGCCAGTCAGAGAAGAGAGAAACCATTTATCAAGCTCTACAAAGATAATTAGCAAATAATATAGGGAATCTTCTACATATTTCAAATATTAAAGAATTTTAACTCAATTATTTTTATTTGCTACCTCATTCTAAAAATATTTTTATGTATTCTACTCATTAAATATTTCTTTAATTTGTAATATATTTTTGTAATATAGTATTATATTTCTATTATGCACAAGGGTCTCCAGAGTAGGCACTTTCTAATAAGACCTACACCTATTTAAACCCAATCTATATTATAAACAAATACTGTAACTTATTCAAATAATAACAGCTTTAGCACTTAATACTCAAACTTCAAGGCATAACCGAATCATGCATGCCCTGCAACGCACTTTCACTTACACTCAGTAGACACATACATATGCAAATATGCGTGTAGCTAGTTAATATGCACATTTAAATAGCTATTAACTATTCTGCTTAGCTGCTATTGACTTACCCAGTAAAAATTGTTGAATTTCAATGCGTTTTGAGGGCTTTGAGTCGATATCCATGATTAATCATAAAACGCGTTAATTCAAAGCGTTCAGTGTTAATGTTTGTTTATATGGCTTTTTGTAGATCGTTTGATTTTGGATTTGTATATGTTTTATTATTATTATTTTTTTTTTATTGTTGATTTTTGTTGTTGCTGTTTGTGTTAGCAATTAACAGTTGTCTGTGAAAATAAAGTAGCTCACAGTTTTTCTTAAATCACATGCAATGCGAAGCACTCTCTATAAAAATTGCAGTAAATATTAAAAAATAAATATTATTAACAATTTCACTTGCTCAGCGCGTTTCTCAAGAGAATACAAAAAAACATAAAACTCATTTCGAAATGAGTGAGCAGAAATAAATAAATGAAGTTACAAGCAATTCTGTCTCCCACAGAGAGAACAGAAATCAATCCATGCTATGGTCCGTTCAGAGTTTATAAATAGATCAGTTCAGAGAGATCAGTTTAACAAGATCTAGAATAATCAGATTCTGTGCTCAATGCTAGCTTCAAATGATACCCTGCATTAAATGTGGCTACACTTATAGGCAGTGACCGACTTTCTGTCCCTCTACCTGCCTGTCTGCCTCTCTATCAAAATTTTAGCCAATTGCCTGTAGGATTCATTTGCAAGACAATGCCAGCTGTTCGCCATATTTGGTGTCTGCTGTAGCTATGCTCGTTGATTTTTAAACAAGAACTTTTGTAATGGGTATCTGTGTGGGGTTCATTGACTTTGATCAACTTATGCTAAGTAAATATACTTCCGTTTAAACAAAGAATAAGATTGTGGAATTGTGGCTCATATGATAACTGTAATATGCCATCTGATAGCTGCTGAATTGAATCGTGTCTATGTATATGTTTGTAAATATATATTTTCTAGATGTGCATTTTGTAAAGATAGAATTTATTATCTTTGAAATATTTTAAATATTTTAGTGTTCTTTAAAAATGACTTTTGTAATAATCAGATATTTGCTGGTTAGATATATGTCTGTGTAATACCTGTATAATAATCTTGTTAAGCTATAGGCATGAGCTTAGTTCTGGAAGCAAATTCTTTTCAAGCTTTTCAATTACTTCTAGCTTGCTTAGTCTGGTATCTATTGGATAGATCGTTTCGTTGCATTCCAAAATATTATATATAGTTTTTGTTTTATTTTGTGTATTGTCTGTTTTGTTTTCGTGGTTTTGTTGCTTTTATTTGGTTGCACGCTTCGCTTGGCGCCTGTGGAAAATCAACGCGGCGTTGATGACGTTATATTTTTTTTTTGTTCATCATTAGCTCTATACGAATTTATATATTGCATATGTATAGGAATATATACGTATATGTATATTTGGTACGCTCTGTGACTGCAGTCAACCTATAACTGTGTGTGTTTATACATATGTGTCATTAAATGTTATTACGAAATGGCTTTGGGCTGATTTTCATAATGCGATACTTAGTTTATGCAGCGCCGCTTAGCACCTGGGCAAGGGCTGAGGGGGTAGAGGCACAATGGTAGGGGTTGGTGTGTGTGTGTGTCTGCCTCTAGGTTATACAGACATGTCTGTCGTCTGAGCGTCTGTTCTGCGGTTTATTTGTCTGCTTGTTTGTGTCGCCTTTTGTGGTTAAAAGTAGGAATAGATTGTGTACACAGAGAGATTGCTAGAGAGCTAGAGTGAGAGCCAGAGAGGGAGGGGGAGAGTGGGAGCAAGTCTTGTGGGGGTCTAGTGACTGCTGCTACTTGGCAAATGTTTTATGTAGCTAAGCTGAGGCGGGTCTCTGGCCCAACCTTTTTAATTGTGACTCATCCGCAAGAAAAAAAATAAAATGAAAATAAGGCAACGCGTGTCGTTGGCCATAAAAAAGAGAGAGATATATGCATATGAGAAAGAAGTATGGAATATGTAAGCTTTTCTCCGTTAGAACTTTTACTTTTTTCTCTTTCCCTCTTTCTTTTTATGGCACATAAAAAAAATTAGTTTGGCAAATGTTATTCGATTTGCTTTATTTGATATCTTTTCTTTTCTGCACTGAGCCATAAACAATTTCTATCGCTAATTAACACTTGCAGTTGAACATATCGAATTTCTATTTACTGTGTTTTCTCTTCTGGCTCAGGTTCTGGTTCTGCTTAAGTTATTTTTCAATGTAAATATTTGATTTGAGGCTTCGGCATTTGGAATTGTTTAGATTATATGGCTACAGCGCAGGCGTGTCAGCTGCGCCGCAGTCGCTGCGCTGCGCTGCTGCTTGTCTGTCTGCATTTCCGGTCATTTATCAAAATGCAAACTGCATTTCCTGCGCTGCAGACTTCAAATTCAAATTGAAAATCAACTTTGGTATTCGATTTGTTATTTCTCTTTCCCCTTTCTTTTTGTATTTTTTGATTTATGCTTGTAAATTTTGCATCCGGTTTTTCACTTGATTCTTTGTCACACTGCGCCTTTGTTTTTACCCATACACTTTGCTCTTGCTCTTTGCGTTGACGTTGACGTTGACGTTAGCGTCGACGCCGGCGTTGACACCTTTTCTGCTTAAGCTTAACAACAACAGCTTTTCTGTAACAGCGCTCTCCGTAGAACCAATGCGAACGCAGACGCAGTCGCTTTTCATTGCGAATACGTTTGTGTGCGAGCGAGCGAGATGGCGCGACCGCAAGCAATTGAGCGCTTTGCGCGCACTATGCGAATTTTAAAGCGCGACTCTGTGTGCGCGGCCGTGAATCACACGAACGCAACTGACTGAAAAGCAACAGCAGCGCAGCCAAATGACTAGAGCGGCTGCCGCTCTGTTGGCTTCCCCACCATATGTACGTGGGGGAGCCGAAGCCGAAGCCGAAGAACAAGCCGAAGCCGCACGCACGAACAGCCAAACAGGCACACACGAAGCCGATGCCTGTTGCTGTTGGAGCTGTAGTTGTTCTTGTTGTTGCTCACTTTCTTTGTAGAACGCAGAGTTTTAATACTCAGCAGGCAGTGCATAGGGAAGTGAGCGGATAGCCTTATATGTCAGTGCAAGTGTATGTCAGAGGGGGAGGGAGACAGGTAATGTCATCGACAGCCGAAAGACAATATGTATGTAAATGATTGTGTCGTTGTAGTTGAGGGCTCAGCTAACATTGTATGTTATAATATATTTTAGTAGTCTACAGGGTATCGTCAGGTCGACTACTACCAGTTGCGGTAGGTATTTTTGTTTTTATTTTTGGGGGAAACGACATAGTGAGTTTTGTTGCATAAAACTGAAAATGTAAATTTAAATGCAAGCGTTTTTGGCCATTTGAGAATCGACGTTGCCGTCTTGTCCGATTTTGGCCAAGCAAACAGGCTCGCCAACCCATAAGAAACCGATTAAAACAACAACACACAAACCAGAAATCTTCTAAGAAATTGCCAGCCAAAAGAAGAAGTAAATAAAAAAGAATGAGCAGTGGCAGATGTTGTTAGAAATCGGAGCCTGGCCTAAAAGCCCAGCTCGAGGATGTGTGTGCCTGTCTGCGTGTGTTGCAGATAAACAGACAGCTAAAGATAGATATAAATATACATATGAAGAGATAGAGATACAACTACATCTGCTGCAGCTACAGCTCCATCTAGCTGGTGCCCTGAAGGACGTGCTGCACAGGTAAACAACTCAATTTTTAATTAAATGTTGCTTGAAATAAATTAAAAGAATTGGATAACCTTGGACTGGGCCGCCACTCGATAGCCAAGTGCGTGACTACGTGTGTGCGTGCAGGGCCGAAACGGACAGGTTCCCAGATATATAGCAGAAGCGAAACGGCCAGCTCCAAGCCGGCTGCAACAATCAGTGCCACTGATTCATGCCACAATGCTCGCTCTTGTTCCATACATGTATTTTGCTAATGCTTAATTACAAGTCTTTTCATTCAAAAACAACCAGATTTTTTACTTTATGTGACGTTTTTACTTGGGGAAACACGAGCAAGCGTTTCTGATGCGTTTTTCTGGCGGTTTCAGTCGCGAGCAAGTTTAGCTACGCTGCCTACAGAGGAGCGCTTTTTTTTTAACGTTTT